TCACAATTTTTGAACACTGTTAGAATCAAAAATTTTCCCAAAGAAATTCAGAGTTAAAGAAACACAAATCAGTGGTATTTGGGGATCTGAGAAAGGACTTACCCAGAAGCCTTGATCGCAGTGAGAGAGTGAACAGGTGCAGCCAGCACCTCACTTGGACTCTTGGTGCTCCTGGGGGGTCTCTGAGAGCACTATCTCAGAACCTACTTTTGATAAAAATTAGATTTAGTAGAGTTTAAGTGAGCAAAGAGCAATTTGCAAACTGAGTAGTTGAACTAGAAGAAGTTCAGAGACTCTAATGCTGAGGTGATTCACGGACTGAAAAGAAAATGTGACATACAGGAAATGGAGGTGAGGTACAGAAACAGCTGTAGTGGTTCGGTTCAGCAGACATGACACAGCTGGTCTGGTGGGTTTAAGTCCTGCCTAACATTCACCCCATGTCTCTCTCCCACCCCAAAGATGCCTATCTTGAGTAATTTAGGTGGATTGATTGAGGAGATTAACTTTTGAATTAGAATATTGTTTTGGGTGATAGATTATACTGATTACTGTTTACTATGGGTCATGGCTTCTGCCGACTATTGCTTAAGATAAGGGTTAACATGGTCTTCACTTTGAACTTAAATGTATAAAAAAATGTAAAAATTCCTGGCCTTCTAACAAATAAAGCCTGGTGGACCTATCTCCATCTCTGCATATAGGATGACAGTGACAGGCAGTCAGACCCTCTTCATCTGGTAAGAGTGATAGGTGTGAGCCACCACATGTGGCCTTTGTCCCTTGATTTACCCCCAAACTATGAAGGCAGTGTGCTTTGTGAATGCAGGGAATATAGCCAAACAACCAGCAACTTAAAACCAAAGAGCAGATATCCCTTGTCTTAGAGCCCGTCAGATCTACCTGCCCAGAGTCACCAGGTGCACATCCTCTCCTGCTCACTGTCCTTGCTGCCCAGCCCTGAAGCTCTTCCTTGCCTTCTTAGTTTTTGCAAAAACATATTAGTTCCCTTTGTGTCACTTCTAAGGCATTTTCAAAGGATTGGCTTTCCACGCAAAATGCCTGCCCCTGTTACCCTTCAAATTTTCTATGTACAAAATGGGAGTCCTTGCTCTACTTCCTTTACTGTGTTGACCTGGCCCAATGCTGGAGAAAGCTCTCTGTCTATAAGGCTTAGGTGTGCAAAATTTATATATATCCTAAATATCTCTCCTCCAACTCCTCCCATGAAATGAGTCACATGAATAACCCCATTCTAAGATATTAGGAACTGATCCCCCAGGACCTTTGGAGGCCCAATTTTTCATGACCAGAAGTTGGAAAGAGAATGCTTTTTATTAGAAAAAGACTGGGTAACTGCAGAGAGTCAGCAAACTTCTTTTGGAAAGGTTCAGATATAAGTATTTTAGACTGTGGTAGGCCAGTGATCTCGCAACGACTCTACATTGCTATTGTAGTTCCAAAGTAGCCATGGATTCTATGTCAACAAGGGCATGGCTGTGTTCCAGTTAAATTTTATTAAAACTACAACAACAGTATTCAGCAGGTCAGGTTTGGCTGGTGAGCCAGTTTGCCAGCTCTAGGACTAGAGCGATGCACTTTGAACTTTTCAATCTCATTTTTCATGTTTATAAAATGACTAATCCACAAAACATGATATCATGATCCTTGTGTTAACTTGTGAGCCATAGTTTGGAAAACACTGCTTGGAAGGACTGATGGACAGAAGGGTCTGGCCCTGCAAGGCCTTCCCAGACACAGTAAGCATCTGGGAAGACAACAAGGCTGGTGGCATATTCAGCATAAGGGACTTCTGGCAAGGTGCGTGGGGGTCAGAAAATGCCCTCACCGGTCCCCTTTCTGTCCACTTAGGTCTTGCACTTCATCCCATCTCTTGCTGAGAAATAACATTGCAAATGTCCTTGCTGGAGGAGAATTCAGGAGTGAAAATGGACTATGAAAATGGTGAGATTCTTGCGAAAATCCAGGTCAGGGCCAAAGTATAATTCCTAAAGGAGGACCTTATTAGGCACTGTACACAGACCCAGCTCCTCCCTGATGACCTGACATGAACTTTTGATCTTTCCTGGGTAATAGATTAGACCAGAGAAATCCTAGAAGGGCAAAGGAAGCTTTCCACAAGTGGCTAGGGGCATCAGGTGACAGATGAATGGGTCATCTCCACCTAAAGACTCAGGGCTTTGAAGTTCCGGCCTCCAGCTGGGTGGCCCACATCCTCCAAGTGAATTTCTTTCTTCCCAATCTGCCCAGGTAGAAGAGAATCCTCAGAGGAGGGGGGCAGAAAATGACCCGGGCCAGGGCTTTAGAGCACTCCCTGGAGGAAGGCATTTGGTTGTTATTGGCTCAAGGGGAACAATAAGAGCAGGCTTTTGACCCAAATATCTGTCTAAGCCTCAGGAGGCCAATCTCCTGAGCTGTTTGATCTGTATTTCCCAGTTTTTTTGCTCAGGGAAGCAAAATACCTTTTAGTGTAAATATTGTCTCTGGTCTAGTATTTGTCAGCATACAAACACCCAAAACAAGGTATTACATGGTCCCTGATATCCCCAAATTATTGGAATATGCTCATTACATGTGCTAACCTCACTATTTGATTGCAGATCCGTCCAGAAGCCCCCCGGAGTCAGGGCTGAGTTGTGCCCACTCAGGTAAGGCCCTGGTGAGGTGATGGGGACTCGAGGATGGGGCTGGGAGAGGGTGATGCAGGGACCTGGATGAGGAGGAGAATTATAGATTTGTGACACCTAAAGGTGTTTTATGGGCTGAGGCTGTTCCTTTGTGGAAGGAAATCCTATTGGGAGAGACAACAAGAAAACTGAGCCCAGGGTGGGCCTCTGTCTCCCCAGGGAGGGGCAGGTAACACGGCAGGCATAGGAGGAGAAGGATGTGCCTGAGAACCTTTCAGGTGCTTCTTCTGGATATAGTCAAAAAGCTGGTGACCCTGACCTCTTCATAGCAGTGATGATAAACAGGTAGGTGTGTGGCTGGCTGGTGGGGTGCAGGGACACCCCCCGGCTAAAGTGCTCATGGAGCTGGACCCTTCCTCACACACACCATGTACCCCTCACAACAAACCCAGGAGGAAATTGTTACCATTTCCATGGTTCAGGTGTGGAAACTGAGGCATAGAGGGGGGGTTACCTGCACCAGGTGACACAGGTAGTAAGCAAGAGATGCTGAAATTTAATATCTGTCTGCCCAACTCAGACATAAGGCTACCCAGCACCTCCCTCTGCATGGGACAGAAAACCTTGGGCTGAGAGTCCCAGCTCTACCATAGATTAATGTGGGAACAGCAAGTCTTACTTTTTTGGCTGTTAAAACGGCATCAAGGACCAAATGAGAGTAGGTGTCTAAGGGTGTCCAGTGACTCGCTTATCACAGTGAGAACTGTTCTCACTGCTACTGCCAAGTGCTGGTGTGTTTCCGGTCTTGTCACAGCTACAAGGCTTCTGGCTCCTGGTCTGCACTGTGCCCTGCCAGAGAGCCATCCACACCAGCCTGTCCTGGCTTCTCCTTGTCTGGTCTATGACCTGAAATCTTGACACAGTAGTTGTCAAACTGTGGTCCTCTGATCAACAGCAGCCTCAGCTTCTAGAAATTATTTAGCAATGAAAGTTTTCACCCTTAGCACAGAGTTCTTGCTATTGTAAACAGGCCTTCCTAGTTATTGTGTTATACGTGAAAGTTTGAGAGCCATTCCTCACAGAAAATCCTTACCAGTGCCTTGGAACCTCAGCATCTCTGCAGAGGCCTTGGGAAGGACGTCTAAGGTCAAATTAGGCATTGGCGCTAATGAGTGAGAGTACCAGTTAAGCTGGGGCAAGATGAGGAGGGCCTAGATCAGGGCATGAGAGGAGGGAAACAGAAGTAAAAAAGGGAGAAGATTTAAGAAATATTTAATATTTGAAAGGTGAAAAGGTACAATGCTGGTGCTAGAAGTGAAACTTGTGATTTCTGATTCAGATCAATTGAGCCAAAAATCTCAGGCATCCATGATCTTAACTGTCACCCACCAGGTGGTTCCCAGTATACAGCAGGGGCTGAGAACCACGGCTTTGGGGCATCCATGCCCCTCGGAGCCTGTCCTGAGACCAGCAACAACAGCTCCTGGGGCTTATTACAGAGGCAAAGCATTAGCACCACCCAGAGCTCCGGAGCCACTCTCTGAATGTGATTCATTGCAGACCAAAGTGTGGGAAATTGAAATACTCAGAGTTGATCTAGGTCAGTGGCTCTCCGTCAACCTGCACCTGCCCTGAGCACTCAGAATGACTGGGTGGAGCCCAGAAAAGCTCCTGATGAGATTCTAATATAAGCCAGAGCTGAAAACCACACACCTCCTCTGTGCCCTTATCATTGTATGTAGAGTTACTTAGGATGTCACCTGGAGCCACTCATCCCTTCCATAAGCACTGAGTGTTCACAGTGCTTGGGGCCAGGTGGTGTGGAGGATTGTAAGACGTGGAACCTGCTCCTGGGGCGCTCACAGTGCTATAGGCTGATGAGACAAGGGCACCATTAGCTGTGCACAGGTAGGAGTGACAAGTGTAAACTATCACAGCACCAAGGGGGAAACTACCCTCTGCAGGGAAGCCAAGGAAGGCTGCAGGAAGGTGGCAGGAGATCTGGTGTTCCAGGAGGAGCCCTCCCCACTCTCTGGGCACAAAGACACCACGAGGCCACACCACAGTGAGACAATAGTCAGAAGCCGTGTGCTTATGTCATAAGAGGAGAAAGACACCTTAGAATCACTATCTATGTTATAATTGCCTAGCCTAGATGCCTATATTACATGTGTGGCATACACAGTGTAGTTGTTATTGTGTCATCATGTTTGGATATTTGTCATTTTACAGCCACCAGCCCTGGCAGTCACTGGCCTTGCATGGGAACTCCTGCCCCCGCATCAAACAACTGTCTGAGTTCCTAGCTGAGGGCCATGTGGCCTGCCCAGTCAGAGGCCAGTCGGAAAGGGTCTTTGTTGGAAGCCCACCTTATCCACTATTATGGCTGGTCCTGCCAGCTGAAAGAGGCTCCCTAGGGCCAGGTGCAAGCCCTGTGGCCTTTTGAAGGAGGCTCTGTAGTGCCAGCTCAGCCTTGCATGGTGCTGGGCTCCTGGGGCCTCCTGACGCTGCCCCACTATCGTGTTTCTCTTGGCCCAGCCAGTGCAGAGGTCTGTCCCACCGCAGGCGTTGCCTAAGGCATGATACAGGAATGAGTTAAAAAGAACAACGACTTATGTGTATTGAGTCTTTGCTACATCTCAGATACTTTCTAATCTCAGGCTAAATACTAGGCATTGGAGCAAGCATTTTAATTCTCATAACTCCCCTCCCAGGTAGGTGCTATTATTTAATACTCCCATTTCACAGATGAGAATACTGAGGTTTGAAGAGATTTAGTAACCTGTTTTAGATCCTATAGCAGAGCTTGGATTAAACCCATCTGTCAAAATCTGGAAGCTATGTGCTTATACACAACGCTAAATTACTTATCTCAGCAAGACAGAAAACATGGGAGTGTAAGAAATATTCAGTGGCTATGAGGTCTGAGTCCTTAGGCAGACTGGAGAGCCAGGGCTTGGACCCTTAAATGTGTAGTATAAAGGGATGAGTCTTCCATTCTCAATGTGAAGTGTTGCTATCTGGTTATCTTGACCTAGGTTCACAAGTGAATGCCCATACGCAAGTGAATCCTGGTGCACCACAGCAATTCAGCATTGAAGACCAGGATCACAAAGTATTGATCCTGCACTGTGAGAACCTCATGGCAGTTCCAAATAAAAATGGTGTACATGCAGGTGACTTTCAGACTTGGGTGTGTTTTCTGTCCCCATCCAGCCAGGTAAAGAGCTTTAGCTAAGTGGGCTTAGCTTCATGCTATACCACCACCCCAAGCAGGCGGTTGAAGTGGGGAGGAGAAGCCCCAGAGACCCTTACGGATCAGATGGAGGATCTATAAGAATGGCTAGATCTGAGAGGAGTCTTTGTGGAAGAGCTGGAAGAAAGAGCCAGTTGCCAGGCTCTGGAAAAAGAGGAGGTTGGACCAGTGAGATGGAGAGGGGCCAGGGGTGGGGCTGAAACCCTAGCAGACAGGAGGCACTCTCTCTATTCTGAGAACTGACCCTTTTCTATCTTTTTTTCCAGAGATCTTCTTTGTGTTAGCCTCACACTTGAGTTCAGCCTCTGAAGAAAAAGGGGGTCCGATTCTCTTGGCGGTCTCTAAAGGAGAGCGCTGTCTGTATTGCAAGAAGAACAAAAGACAAAGGAAGCCAACCCTTGTGCTGAAGGTGAGAGAGAGCTCTGCTACAAATTCCCGTACCCACGACCACCCTAAAGCAAAAGCCCCAAACCCTCGGTGCCTTTCATTCGCCCTCAAATTCTTATCTTGGCCAATAAAATGGGAGCATCTGCCTTTCGGGAAGTGCCGTCAAAGGATTTTCCTGCCCTCTTCCTACTTCCTTGTTCCTTCTGGGGGAGATGAAGGGACTCCCTACAATGAGGGAGACTCAGTGGAGGGGAGCTGAGCACGCCCAGATGCCTGGCACTTGCTCTGCCTGGGCTGCTCCCTCCTGTTCTGACCCTCCTTGTGGCAGGTGGTACATGTGGGTCAGGACCTGATCTGCCACTACAGGGTTGGAGGGTGTCAGGCAGCCACTGGAGGGCTGTGTGTCTGCTCTGCAAACTTGGTCCTAGATAGAGCATCCTTTCACTTGAGGGTAGAAATCTTACAAAGCCAAAGTTTAGATGCAGCTCTAAGCCATATTCTTTAACCTTACTTTTAAAATAATAGCACTGATATTTTGGTGTCCATCTGATGCCTGCATCTTTCTCTTAATTTATTTTTAATTTGAGGAGAATGGAGGGATGGAAGAGAAGGCATGATTACTTATTACTCCCCAAATGCCAGTGCCAACGCTGACACCCCAACATCCCTAAGGACCACCCCACCTTCTGTCTTTTCCTCCTCTCCTGTGCAAAGGTCTGGAGCAAGAGCATACACAATGAGTTTTTCTTTCTTCCCAAGCCTGAGTTATCTAATTAATTTCTTTTACCTCATAGAAGAAGAAACTGACCAAACTCGCTACCCAGAGTGAAAAAGCACGCCAGCCCTTCATTTTTTATAAGGCGAGGGTAGGCTCCCGGTACACGCTGGAGTCAGCTGCCTACCCTGGATGGTTTGTCTGCACCTCCTACAATGCTCATGAACTTGTTGACATGACAGAATTTGGAAAAAGGAAATACATGGAATTTGATTTTATCAGGATTTCGGAGCTGCCTATCAGCCCCAATGAGGTCAGTGATTAGGAATGCCCCATCCGATGCCTTCTTCTGCTTTCTTTATTTGAACCAATCACATAAGAACATAAAACTCATGTCTGTGAGTTTCATTTATTTTTTTGTTGGTTTATTTGTGGAATAATTTTTTTAAAATTCAGAATATTACAGGGGTACACACACTTTGGTTATGTAATTTGCTTTTGTACATCTCAGGTTAAATTTATAAGTGTGTCCTTCACCCACAATGTGTGCATTGTCTAGATTCTCTATTCTATTCCATAGATCTATGCTCTGTTTTTGTGCCAGTACCATGCTGCTTTGATCACCATAGATTTGTAGTATTACCTGAAGTCTGGTAATGTGATGCCTCCAGATTTGTTTTTATTTATAAGAATTGTATTGGCTATTCAGGTTTTTTCTGATTCCATATAAAACAAAGTACAATTTTTTCAATTTCTTTAAAGTTTGACATTGGTGCTTTGATGGGGATTGCATTAAATCAGTAGATTGCTTTGGGTAGTGTGGAAATTTTAACAATATTGATTCTTCCCAACCATAAGCATAGTATGTCCTTCCATTTGTTAACATCTTCTCTATTTCTTTTCTCAGACTGTCAAAGAGAAAGGTGGAATAAATCTTCCTAATGATCCTGAGAAAGCAGCAGAGAGCTGCGGAAAACTCCTCCTCTAAAGATAAGAACAAACTTTACACGGAACTAAAATGACCTTGAAACGCAAAAGAAAAAAGGACTCTGTAACTAATAACAGTACTCTGGTTTCTGACATTTGTAGCCATAACTACATAGCTGATATTGAACTGAAGAAAAAAAAAGTATATAAGAATTTGGAAAAAACCGTTTTCCCGGAACTCAGCATTTTATGCCTTGAGACACCTGAGGTCTTGCTGGCAGTTAAAGGGTCTTTCTTCTATATTGTTGGTGTGTCTGTCTGTTTTAATTTGCCATTTTCCTGCAATATCATAACTCTCTTTAAAGAGATCTTTTGCATCCTTTGTTAGATATATATATGAAGATGACAGACAAATGGCAAAAAAACACATAAAAAATGCTCATTGTCTTTAATCATCAGAGATATGCAAATCAAAACCAGTTTGAAATATCACCTCACTACCAGTGAGATTAGCTCACATCACAAAGTCAAAATACCAGATGCTAGCGTGGATGTGGACAGAAGGGAACACTTCTACACTTCTGGTGGGGATGCAAACTAATACAACCTTTATGGAAAGAAGAATGGAGAATTCCCAGGGAACTAAAAGTTGACCTTTCATTTGATCTCATAATCCTAGTACTAGGTATCTACCAAGAAGAATAAAAATCATTTTACCACAAAGCTATTTGCACCAGAATATTTACTGAAGTTTAATTCATAATTATTAAGTCATGGAAACAACCCAAATGCCCATCAACTCATGAATGCATTAACCAATTGTGGTATATGTATACCATGGAATACTATTCAGCCATAAAAATGATGGAGACTTTACATCTTTTATGTTTACCTGGATGGAGTTGGACAAATTCTTCTTAGTAAAATATCTCAAGAATGGAAAAAAAGTATCCAATGTACTCAGTGCTGTTATGAAACCAATATATGAACACTTACTCATATGAATGATAAAACACAAATATATTCTAGCAAGGGGGAGGGGTGAAGAAGGGGGGGGCGATTGGTGGGAGGAAGGAGGGCATTTGGTGGAATCTCACTAATGTGCACAACGCAAGGGTATATTTCCAAATAACCAAGAGTAAATTTTAAAAGTCTTACCACAAAAAATAAGTAAGTGAGGTGATGGCTATGTTAATCAGTTTGATTTAAGCATTTCATATTGTATATCAAATCATCATATTGTACCCCATAAATGTATACAGTTATGATTTTAACTAAAAATTAAATAAAAAGAGTGTGTGCATTATACTCATTAGGTGTAAATTAACCCAACCTCTCCTCCCTGCTCCCACCTACTTGATTTTGTTGTTTTACTTCATATGTGCACATAAGTATTGATTTACTAGTTTCAATTTAGTATTGAGAACATGTGGTGTTTGTTTTTCCATTCTTTTGATACTTCACTTAGAAGAATGGTTTCTAGTTCTATCAGGTTGTTACAAAAGGTACTATATCACCATTTCCTTTTATGGCTGAGTAGTATTCCATGGCTTACATACACCACATTTTATTTTATTTTATTTTTATTTATTTTTTGTTTCATTTGCTTTATGATTAGAATGGTGTCTTTTTTCAAATTTCAGATTAATATGAGAGTATGTACCATTAAGTTACATTGTTTGCATTTTTTTTAATTGTTTGGTATTCACCGAGGGTACAAAGAATTAGGTTACACTGATTGCATTTGTTAAATAAAGTCCCTCTTATAATTGTGTCCTGCCCCAAGAGGTGTGCCATACACCATGACCCCCCTCCCTTGCCCTCTGCCCTTCTCCCTGCTCCCTCATTCCCCTACTCATTGTTTGCATTTGTAAGGTTAAAGGTTAAAATCCAAGTTGTAGTTGTGTTTTTTTTTTTGAGATAGAGTCTCACGATGTCACCCTTGGTAGAGGGCCGTAGCGTCACAGCTCACAGCAACTTCAAACTCTTGGGCTTAAGAGATTCTCTTGCCTTAACCTCCCAAGTAACTGGGACTACAGGCTCCCACCACAATGCCTGGCTGTTTTTTTTGTTTTTGTTTTTTGTCACATTGTTGTTTAGCAGGCCCAGGCTGGGTTCCAACCCACCAGCCCTGGGATATGTGGCTGGCACCCTAACCACTGTGCTATGGGCGCTGAGCCTGTAGTTGTGTTCTTCACACAGGAAATGTGTCATATACCCATGCATTGTACCTATTGTGTGAGAACTTAACAAATCCCCCCCCCCACTTGAATTTAATTGACTTTTTCTCTCACTTGGGCCTTTGTACGCATTTATTAAGCCACTCATCTATTGATGGGCACTTGGGCTATTTCCACATCTTTGTGATTGTGAATTGTCTAGTTATAAACATTTGAGTGTAAATGCTTTTTTTTTTTTTTATAAAATATGGAATAATTTTAAAAACAGCTTTACTGAGTATAATTCACATACCATTGAATTCCCCCATTTAAAGTGCACAATAAAGATTTCTTAAAAAATATATTCAGAGTTTTGCAACTATTGGCATACTCTAATTTTAGAATATTTTCTCACCAGAAAAAGTAATTGTGTACTCATTAGCGGGCACACCCCCTTTCTCCCAGTTCCCCACCCTAGCCCTGGACAACCAATAATCTACTTCCTATCTATAGATTTACCTATTTGGGAATCATGCAATATGTAGTCTTTGCAACTGGCTTCTTCCACTTGGCCTAATGCTTTCAAGAGCCATCTATGTTATAGCACAGATCAGTACTTTATTCCTAAATATTATTTCACTGTATGGATATACTTTATTAATTCATTAGCTGATAGACATTTGGGCTGTTTTCACTTTTTGGCTATAATGAAAAATGCTACTATAAACATCTGTGTACAATTTTTTGTATGAACTAGGTTTTCATTTTTCTTGGACCTATACCTAGGACTGGAATTTCTAGATCATACAGCAATGCTGCTTAATATTTTGAGGAATTGCTAAAGTGTTTTCCAAAGTGTGGAATCATTTTTATATTCTGATCAGCAGTATATGAACGTTCTGATTTCTTCATGTTCCTGCCAACACTTACTATGTATTTTATGTCAATATATAATATGTCAACATTATGTCTTTAATGTTTTTCAATAATCTTTATTTCAAAATATTAGGGGTACAAGTGTTCTTGTTAACATAAATTGTATAATGCTGAAGTTGGGGTTTTATTATGCCCATCACCAGAATAGTGTACATAACACCTGATAAGTAAGTTTTTATTCCACACTCCCCCTTCTTCGTTCCCAGTGACAACACTTTATGACCACATTGCTTTGGTCCCACTTATTAGCGAGAACATGGGGTGTTTGATTTTTCATTAATGAGATACTTCATTTAGAGTAATGTTCCCCAGTGTCATCCAAGTTGTGCAAATGGAATTTAATTCCTTTTTATGGCTAAGTAGTATTCCATGGTATATATATGTGCCACATTTTCTTTATCAGCTCATTAATTGATGGGCATTTATGTTGATTTCATATCTTTGCAATTGTGAACTGTGGATAAACATTCAAATGCAGATGTCTTTTTGATGTAGTAACTTCTTTTCCTATGGGGAGATACCCAGTAGTGGGATTGCTGGATTGAATGGTGGGACTACTTTTAGTCCTTTTTAATTTAATTTTTATTATTTTTTAATTGTTTGGGATTCATTGAGGACACAAAGAATTAGGTTATATTGATTACATTTGTTAGGTAAATTCCCTCTTATAATCGTGTCTCCCCCCCCCCCCAGAGGTGTGCCATTCACTGTGACCCCCACCCCCCTCCCTATCTGCTCCCTTATTCTGCTACCCTCTGCCATATATTAGGTCATCTATTGCCTTCATATGAGAATTGAGCACATTGGATTCTTGCTTCTCCATTCTTGTGATGGCTTTACTACGAAGAATGTGTTCCAACTCAGTCAAGGTTAATATGAAAGACATAAAGTCTCCATTTCATTTAATGCCTGCTTTTAATTCTTTGGGGGAATTTACATACTGTTTCCCACAGATATTGTACTAATTTAAACTCCACCAAAGTGTATAAGTGTTCCTTTTTCATTGCACCCATTGCAGCATGTATTGCTTTTTGATTTTTTAATAATGGCCATCCTGATAGGTGTAAGTTGGTATCTCAGTGTGGTTTTAATTTGCATTTCCCTGATGATAAATGATGTTGAGAACTATTTCATGTGCCATTTGTATATCTTCTTTTAAAAAGAAGATATAGTTCCCAGTGACAACACTTTATGACCACATTGCTTTGGTCCCACTTATTAGTGAGAACATGGGGTGTTTGATTTTTCATTCATGAGATACTTCATTTAGGGTAATGTATATCTTTTGTACATTTGTATATCT